ATATATTACTGTAATAGCTTAGCTTATCCTTATCATATTCTGCATGTAAAATAATTTTCCCCCCCCCCCCCCCCGTGGAAATCAGCTACGGTTGACGGGGTCAGCGTGGATAAATAAAATTCTACTACTACAATATACGTTACAAAGCTTAGCGATGTTACTGTATTTACGGAAAACCATACTTGCCGTTCAGAGGAAAATCGAAACATACAGATAATATGGTGTTAATGTTATCACTGTATGTATTACTTGTTTTCGATTAATTAATGGAAATAGAAATTTTTTGCCGGGTAATATATTTTGAAATGTTCTGACATAAACAGCATATTAGAATTTTGTTAGGATTTTGGAATGCTTCCAAGCAAGCAAGATGTTGTTGCCGAAAAATAAGTAAAGAACCACACTAGAGTTTATTGTTTCAAGAATTTTTTTCTTGTAGCTCCTTCGAGTGGTGCGACTATCACTGGTGTTACAGCATTAAACTCCACGTCGTTGAAAGTCACCTGGGAAGCTGTTCCAAGTACAAACGGACCTATAACAGGATACACTGTGTGTTACTCGTTAAACCCTCCCGTTAATTGTTCAAATAACAATCAGAAAACCGTGGGTAAAGACACATTAAATACGACTATAATGGGACTGAATGTATTTACAAGGTATTACGTAGCAGTGAAAGCTTCTACAGCAGCAGGTAATGGATCTCTCGGAGGCGAAGTGGAAGGGACCACGGGCCAAGCCGGTGAGTGTTTATTTACATTTACAGTAACTAAACAGTAAGATGGGACAGTCTGCTTTGCCCGCGTGGAAGAAGCGAACGTAACGGTCATGCACGCTATAACTTTTCGGCGCATGCTCAATAGTGTCCGCTCTGCCCGTGGGCAAAGTGAATGTAATGGAGAGCGGCCTTTACAGCCACCTGTGATACTGATTTGTGATAATTGGGATACAGCTATTTCAATTAAGGTTGTCTCGGAGGAAATGTTGCAGTAATGCATAGATAGATACATACTTTATTGAAATGCTCCCAATCGGATTTTTCGTTGCCTATTTCATTGTTCCGACAGCATTAGAGTAAAACTAATGACTTAATTATAAACGCAAAGGAAATTTCCATAACATTTTCTATTTACGAATGCGACATGCTTGGTAACCAGGTCAGGGACCACTTTTTGAAATCAGGGACCATTTTGCCGAAATCTGCTAGGCTCTCTCGCTGAAGCGTTCCGCACAGCACACCCAGGCATAAACTTTCAAGACTTATATAAATATGTCAAAGCAGCGAATAGAGAGAGAGAGCCTGGAACTAGGCTGGGGTGTAATGTGTAGTAGAGAAGTAGATAGGGATACAGTAGGTCTGGACCATATAAATACAACCAATAAATACAATTATGAACAGCAACTCTCAACCATAATATACCAAGACGCCGGCTCAGGCATACCCTCCGGCTAAGGGCAATTCAACCTGACAAGCCAGGCCCACTGATCATCAACTATCAACCGTGAATAATGATGGCCAATAATAGCTAAAAATTATATAGTCCTTGATTTTTAATGTCAGTATATGGCTAGTTTCAGGTGCCAAAAAGTTCATAGACATAGACGATTTTTCTAAAACTACGCCAATTTGCTTCCATTTATAAGATAAGCTGATCCCAACCCAAAGCCCTTCTCTAACCCCAACCAGTAAACATCTAATAAACAATTTGAGAATTAAAAAGGGGGGAGGGAGTTGGATCTTGTTCATGCGCGTATGGGCCTACTCTTGCTTGGGGGGAGGGGGCACAGTATGGTTTGCCCGAACAGGCAAACTAAACATTAATATTTTCCCCCAAAATTGTTGGCGGGAGGGTGGGAGGTCACCAAAAATTTTCCGGACATATCACAAAATTTCCCCTAACATCAGTAATTTTCGCGAAAATACAAAAATTTTTTCAGGACATATCAACATTTTTCCGAAATTTTAAAGTTTTGCCTGAATTTTGCAATGGTTTTTGCCCGATCGTAAAAATTTGTGGGGGGGGAGTCAAGTGCCCCCCCCCCCTGTGCCCCCCGCCCATACGCCTATGATATTGTTCCAAAAACAAATTGAACCGTATCACGTTTCACTGACTTCACCGCACGCAACGCCACCTCGCTGAATACAATAAAAAATACATTTTTATAGTAATATATGATGAAATGGAAAGTAATTTGGCGCAAATTAATGCAATTAGGTGCAAATCTATAATTATGCAAGTGCTCAACGCTTGTTTATGAGTCTACAACGTATATTTATCCTTGTTATTTAAAAAGTCAAACTGTCAAACCTTAAACTTCTCCTTGTTTACGTTACACTTAAGGGGGTCTTTCACCCTAAACACATTTTTTTCAAATTAAAGATTTTATCATCATATTTGAGTCAAATATGATAGAATATCCTCAGCTGACACAGGATCAGTAACTTTTACATTCGTCGTTGCCATAGTAACTAAGATAGGTCTCGCTATAGGGTAAAATATAG